CCCCGAGCTGGTCACAGGTGCCTGAGTTCTCTCTGCTGAGATTAGAACTGCCCAGTCAGCATTCAACCCATGGACAATAACAAATGCTCAGTGTTTTCAGCTACTGGATTTTTGGAGTGATGAGTTACTTATCAATAACAAACTCACACATCATCTCTTATCTCTTTTCTGTGTATCAGAGTAAAATGGGAAAAATGCTCTCATATGCTATTTACCATACATACATGATAGGTAATATCTATCAAATAATATATCTAAAGAACATAATAAGCACTCAACAAAGTATTCATCCCTCCTTATATCATCCTCTAAGAACTATAAATATTTCTCATTCTTGTGTTGAGTAATTTAAAAAGCAATGCTATCCTTACCAAAGTAAATGTAAGATGTAGTTCTAGGCTTCAGCATTCGGCGTAAATCATAGGCCCTAAAGAGTGGTGTGCCAGTGGTCAGCAATCCTGAGAGCAGAAGATTGCCTAAACCCTACTTTCTAGCTGGCTGCTTGTGATGGAAACATGGCCTGTAGAAATGTGTGCAGATAGACAAAGGAGATAAGCAAATCTTTGAGAAAGCCTTGGCTGAGATGATTTTGCTCATCTTGGAAGAAAAAAAACCATCATAACCCTTGCCATGTGACTTGGCTCCTCCATGTTCCCTCAGAATATGATGAATTGCTCTCTAAATAATAAAAGTCTTCCAGGAACAATAGACAATGTCTACTACGGAACATTCATAAATATTCAGCTGAAGCCTGGTGGGAATGTTAGGCTCCCAGGAGAGCTCTGTGCTGACGTTGGAAGTCAGAAACCAACTCGGAGACGTAAAACTGTGCAGTAAAAATATTTACACAAATGAGCTTGGGGTGAGTTGTCAGAGGGCCATGTTCCTCTTTTGCCTGGACGTCGGGAATTAATTTGGACCTGATGGTGAAGCTCAGGTCTGAAATCAGAGCAGCTTTTTTACATCCATGGACAGCTCCCATAAATGTCAGGGGTGAGCAGAGTAGAAACACTTGGGCCACTACTACAGCAGAGTCCAGGCCATCAAAATGTTGCTTTATTTCCCTTTGATTCCACAGGTTCCATCCAGCCTTCTAGAAATCATGTGGTGCCACCTACTAGACACTAGGAAGAACAAACTATTAGACTCAGGTCCCATCTCCTCTCAAGGAAACCACATGCCAAAAAGGAGTACGTAGGTTTGTGCAATTCAACACAAGTACTGATGTGCTGATCTGACCATACGCTACTAGAGCATAAGAAAAAGAAAAGACAGCAGGGGTTGCAGGGGCAATGGGTTAGGTGGAGGACTGCACAGGAAAGGCTCTATGTAAGCTGGGGCATCTGAGTGGGTCTCAGAAGAGGTTATAAATTCTTGCAGGTGAGAAGAGAGTAGGGGAATGCTATGCATCTCTGGTGTGGTCTGGGAAACCATAGGTGACAACGATGTGGTTAGGGACCATGAGCTGGAAACATCAGCCCTAAATCTGGAATGGAAATTTGGGGATCCAGAAAGATGCAATGATCTTTCTCTCCATTTCATTTTTGGTTTATTCTGGCTGAGGTTTTGCCAGGGGGAAAGGTTATAAAGGGCATTGGAAAGTTAGTCTGTCTGAATTCTTCAGGATTTGAAGGAAACAAAAGCAAGAGCCAGCCCTGCAGGTCATCGTGTGCCTGAGGAAAATGACAGATGGCCACACAGAGGCAACAGACAGCTTGGAACAGCACATGTGCTCTCTGTCCTGCCCCTCTCAGCTCTGGAAATCTTTCTGGGAAAGCAGAACGCCAGCATAATCCATCTGGAAACCTTAGATTAGAAAAAAAAAAAAACACAGGATGTCTTATTTCAACTTTCAAATGTTTTGAGGAAAGTGCCAAGAGAAGGGGCAGAAAGAAGAGAAACAAGGAAGAGAAGTGAGAGGAGGGGCTGAAGGAGAAAGAGAAGACACAATTGGTGGAACTATGTTTAGCAGTAGATTCACTCTAGAAGATTCATTCTGATGACTGAAATTTCCAGAACACGGATAATGTTTCGAGACACTGACATGATGGGGACTATTAATTTGAAAGTGCTATTTTCCTATGACAGCATTTTAAGACTGTAAGCATAAACAGCTACACACACAAGCCCTTGTTTGGGTTCAGATGTCCACAACAACATAACTTTATTTTTCTACCTGCAGCACCACTTTCACTCAAGAGAAGAAAATTAAATTTTAAGCAATTCATGTTAAACAAGCAAATCAAGGCTTTTGCCTTCAGTTGGCTTAGTGCTTCTCCCTCACCCTTTCTCCTCTGAGTTGGTGTAAATTCTCCAGCAACAAAGCACTGAGAAGAAAAGTGCTGGGTTATCAGTGCTCAGTGTCTGTCATCATTAGAATTTATTCAGATTTCTCCTTAACTGCTGGACTCTGGTTGCTGGCACCTGGACCTTCTGGTATGGCTTGAGCTATCTGCCTACAGCTGGTCCCCAGGGTTCTCTCTATACTAGTCACCCTGCATCTTCATCAAAAGTCTCTTCTACAACATGAAAGCTGACACTTGACTCTTTTGTTTCTCTCTGCATGTCTGATGTAATAACCCTACCAGACAGCATGAGCATAGATGCCCTTGCTGCCTGACTCAAGAAGTGGGTGGGAGGGGAACACGGGACATGGCACAGACAGGAAGCACTGAAAGCTGAAGCCTTTGGTTAATCCTTTACTGTATTATTCTGGTACATCCACAGTATTTGCCTTTTTTTTTTTTTTTTTTTTTTGGGATGGAGTCTCACTCTGTCGCCCAGGCTAGACTGCAGTGGCACAATCTCGGCTCACTGCAAGCTCCCCCTCCCAGGTTCACACCATTCTCCTGCCTCAAGTAGCTGGGACTACAGTCGCCTGCCACCAAGCCCAGCTAATTTTTTGTATTTTTATTAGAGATGGGGTTTCACCATGTTAGCTAGGATGGTCTCGATCTCCTGACCTCGTGATCCGCCCGCCTCGGCCTCCCAAATTGCTGAGATTACAGGCGTGAGCCACCACGCCCTGCCCGTCCACAGTATTTTTTTTAAACAGGTTTTTCACCTCACCCTCTCTCAATCCATGTTAAAAAGCTCCCACTCCAAGTTCTTTAAATGTCCCTCTAGATAGACCTGCCATACATACATACAGGTAACTACCATGACTTGCATACATACAGGTAATGCAGGAAAAGGGGAGCATATCACAGCATACAGGTATATGGTTGGCAAAATGCAAAATGTGGGGTGCTCTGTAGAATAAAAAACTGTTTAACAAAAACATTGCAAGGACAAAAATAGAAGAAGTCAAAAAGACTTATATATGTCTACCAACTGCAATGGATTCTGATGAAAACCAACCAATATAAAATTATCTGAAATAATAGAGGAGATTTAGACACAAACCAGAGATGTGTGATATAAAAAACTGTTAACTTTTTAGATGGGATATTATTAGAGGTATGTTTAATAAAAAGTTTTTATCCTTTAGAAACATCTGGATAAATATTTAGAAATTAATTACAGATATCTGATATGTGCCTTAGAATATAAGGACTCGAAAATGAATGGATATAGATGGAAGGAGAGTTGGTGGCCACAATTTGATGATCGTTATGATGTTTAATTTATAGAGGTTTTCTGTACTATTCTAGATGTTTCTATGTTTAAACAATTTTTTTTTCCAGAATAAAAACCTAAAAACATTCTGATAATTACTTTTTTTTGTTTGTTGGTTTCCCCATACACTTCCTGTGGTTTCACAACCAAGTGCCACAGTTCATGTTATCCTCATGACTTGGGGCATCCTTTTCTCAATCATTACTTTCCTTCTCTTTCTTCATTTCTGATCTAATTCCTACTTTTTCTTCATGTCTCAGCTCCCGGAGCTGTCCCTGGGTTCTCAGAGTGAGCTCTGTTACCCTGGCAGCCATCTCAGGTATCATATTGACTCATCTGTTGCCTGGCACACTGTCAGTACTTACATTAAAAAGAAGACAGTTATCTTTACCTCTTTTGTGTTGTGAGGATTAAATTACATTTATTAAGCACCTGGCACGCGTCGGAAGCGCCATATTCATTAACTTCTTCACTTCTATTCTATCGTTTAAACCTGAACATCCCTTCAACACCTAGTTCCAGTTCCTCTTCCTCCAGGAAGCTTCTCAAAATACTACCGGCCTCTTTGCTGACTACATCATGTCCACTAATAAATCCCTGCTTAACATTTGATCCCTGGGCAGACTTCTATGAGAAAATATAACAAGATTTTTTTTCAATTTTTACCTATTCACTCCAAGCAATTATGATGATGGTATAGCTATCTAAACTGTATCCAATTTGATGCACAGCAACTAGAATTTGATAATTCCAGGATGGTTAGGCATTGTAAGATCTTAACTCCAATCCCCACATGACGAATGGAACCTCTCTCCTGCATGAAAGGCAAATAGTAGCTTCCTCATCCATTATTCTTATACCATCCAAGAGAGCCATCAGATGGGAATTATTTTCAATATTTGGCAAGTTAAAAAACTTGAGAATCAGAGAAAAGAGTGTATTTCCAAGAGCATCTAGCTAGCAACTGAACTGAGGATGACATCCGAGGTCTCCTGACTGTCTAACATCTTACTGCCTCTGCAATACCCTTGCCAAGGGACTTCCCAATTTCCCCCAGATTAGAAAGTCCTTCCTCATTAAGCTGTCCCTAAACCTTGCATCTGGCATGACCACACAGCGTTCACTCAGGAGGTATTTACTGAGCCTCTAAGAGGTACCAGGTGCTGCAGTACAGCTGGGCTAGACTTTACCTAGAAAAACAGGCTAGTCATCAATAACGTAGGATCTATTGTAAAGAAGTACAATGCAATTCTTTGTTCCAATCTGTTGTATAGGGTATATAGAAAGGTCTGCATGGCACACAGACAGAGCATGACGGCTTTAAACCTCTAATTTTCCACTACTAAAGCTGTGTAATACTCCCCACAAGCATCCCTTCTCACCTCCCGCCGACGGATGGGCAGTTGCTCTGGTCAACACCACACTGGCAGGACCCCCTGGGGGTGAGATCCAGCAGTCCCCGGCAAGGAACGTCAGGGTGCTCAGCAGATGGAGGCTCCACAGAACTAAGAGCCCCAAGGCGAGGCTGTTGAAATGCTGTGCCAGGCAGACAGGCTGCCAGGGAGTTTTTGGTGCACATATTTAATATCGTCCTGACTGCAATGGAAGCAGGTGCATGAGATACACAAACAAGGAAGCCACAAGGAGATGTCTCCAAAGTAGATATTGAGGCAAGAGAAGAGAAGGCCACAACTGCAGGGAGACCATGGAATTTGAATCAAGTGTGGGCCCCAAGGACTGTGAACAAAATGTGTAGTGGGGATTTCCTAACCCAGGGGAGGGAACACTTGAGGGCAGTGGCAGGAAATGCTGTTGGGAGGATACTGAAAACCCGAAAAGTGAAAATGGGGCCAGTGCTGCGGGAACCATCACTGGAATGACCTAGAAGAGAGTTAAGAGCCAAGATACCCTATGATTGAGAATGGCTGGTGGGCTGAGGAGGGATGGTTGGTGTGTGGCTGAAGTACTTAAGATTAATCAGATACAGTGTCACTGTATTAGTCAGCTGGGGCTGCCATAGTAAAAATATCACAGAGAGGGCAACTTAACAGACGTGTATTTTCTCACTGTTCTGGATGCTAGAAGTCCAAGATCAAGGTTTCAGTAGGGTTGGTTTCTTCTGGGGCCTCTCATCTTGCCTTGCAAGTGGACTTCTTCTCCCTGTGTCCTCACATGATCTTTCTTCTGTGCCCGCACATCCCTGGTGTCTCTCTGTGTGTCTTGATCTCTTCTTTTTTAAGGACTCCAGTCAGATTGGCCTAAAGCAAACCCTAACAGCCTTTTGTTTTTTTAAACCTTAATTACCTCTATAAAGGCTCTATCTCCAAATACAGTGACATTCTCAGGTAGTAGGGATTAGTGCATGGACATATGAATTTGGGGGGAGGGAGGAATGACACAATTCAGTCTATAACAGTCACAAGTGGTAGAGGAGAGACATGTACCAAGATAAGGAGGGAGGTTCACAATTGCCCGAGAAATTGATGGTAGAATGGGAGAAATTAGGTTGTAAGGGAAGCACAGAGGGCACATCTTACCACACATGCGGGGTGAAAGGAAGCAAGTTCAGTCTGGCATGGAGAGGCCTTCGAAGGGAGACTGACAGTGAGCATGTCAGAGAGGGTATAATGAGATCAGAACAGCCACCATGAGGCTCTGCTCCACCTGGCTACTGCATTTTATAGGCTTCCCAATTTGTAAGAGAACCAAGACCACAGCGAAGTAAAGTCATTAACTCTAATGCTAAAATCAGTTTTATGGGTGAGAAATTCCCAGCAAACCACTGGGCTAGGGCTGGGGAAGGAAATAAAGCCTTCACATAGTCTCCTGGCCAGTTACTGGACAGAGCGGCGGCTCCGTAAGGACCCTCAGTAGATGTCAGTAGGTTACGGAGTGTGCACGCCCGCCCAGCATCTGGGTAGGAATGTCCAGACAATGAGAGGAAGCAAGTGACAGGGAAACTCACTTGCTCTGAGGAAAGTCCTAGAGACCTGCACAGGACAGGGCTAGTTTTGGTCCGTGGATGCTTTTTGTGAACTCCATTCTCCACCAGTAAGAAAAAACCTGGCATTTTCAGCTTGCTTCCTGAGAATCAACTTAGAATCACAGGAATGCATGGAATTTGGAACTGAATGTTCAGTCTGGGAAAGTACAGACCTGATAAATGGTACATGCTGGGATTTCAGACTCACCTGGGCAGCAGCCCACACAGGAGTGGGCAATGGCTTTGCTTAGACTCCTGGCCGTGCAGATGGTAAGATATAAACATGCTGGGGAGATATTTAGGGGTAAAATTGAAAGAACTTGGTGAAAGATTAGATGTGTGAGTGCTAAAAAGGTCAGTGTCAACAATGGTTTTGAGAAGGAACAGCAGAGAGGATGGTGGTTTCAGTACTAAGTTATGGAGCTGCAGGAAAGGAGTAGGCTAAAGGTGGTGTAATGGTTTCAAACATTAATTTGGGAGCAGGTGTAACTTGAAGAACTTTTGAGACCAAATCAAGAGGAAATACTGAGCTTGAACCATTCAGTGTGTGAGGCTCTGCAGTTCAGAGAAGCAGTTTCGCTGAGAAGGCTGGGGGCATTGTCTGGAAGAGAAAGCTCACTGAGAAGAGCTACAAGGCTCAGGATTGAATAATTCCATCTTTTGCAGAGCTTAGAAGAGAAGGGAAGGCACAAAGCAGGCTGAGAAAAAAAATGCCAGAAAGGTGGGAAGGAAACTGGGAGAGTGAGAGCTACAGGACAGTAAAGGAAGAGAGAGCGTTTCAAAGAGGAGGTTCCAGCCCGTCAATGCTAATGAGAAGCCATCAGGAAGAGGAGAGAAAAGCACCTGCAGGGCACGGTGGCAGAGAAGTTACTAGTGGCTTCCGCAGGAGAGGTTTGGGTGAGGTTTGGGTGGAACGGTGGTGTCGGAGCTAGGGACAGGGGTTGAAAAGCAAATGAGGGGAGCAAGAAACCCACGTGTGTCACTTAGGAAAATTGGTACAGAAGCAAAGTGTCTTAGTCTGCTTGTATGGCTACAACAAAATACCTTAGACTAGGTAATTGATAAGAACAGAAATTTATTTTCCCACAATTCTGGAGGCCAGGAAGTCCAAGATCAAGGCACCAGCAGGTGCGGTTCTGGTGAGGACAGCTCTCTGCCTCCAAGATGGTGCCTCTCGCTGAGGTCCTCACATGGTGGAAGAGACGGAAAGCGAAAAGAGCCAGCTACTTCCCTTGAGCCCTTGATACTATCACAGTGAGTCTTGTGTCCCAACATATAAATTTGGGGGAACACATACATTCAGACCATGGCACAAAGCTTTAGGTACTAGCACCTATGAGGGATTGGCAACAGATTGGATTTGCCCATTATTTCTCAGACTTTAACTTGCATGACAGAAAAATCCTAGGGTAGCTCTTTTGTACCATATCCTACATAATTCCCTCACCTGAGTGTGGGCAAGATTTGCAACTTACTTCTCACCAAGGCAAAAATGTCACTCCTATGATTATAGATCTCTGTGTGTATGTACATATGTATGTATATGTATGTGTGTGCATGTATAGATACGAATGTTATGTCCTGGGTAGTGGGTGATGGCTGAAAGAACACTTGGGGGCACGTAGGCAGGCAAAATGCTTTATTCAGCAGCTCTCTCACTAACAGCTTTCTCACACTGTTCTCTCATCAGCAGCGTTCTCACACTGTCTGCCTCGTCTCAGCTCCTTGAGCCGGCCACTCCCACACACAACTGTGCAGCCGGCTCTCTCCTGCCTTCAGGGTCAGCAGCTTAGCTGTTTCTCTCTCTGGGCACATGGGCAAGCCATGCTGTGCCATGCCATGCCGTGCCATGCTGTGCCATGCTGAGCTGTGCACTGGCACCCCTCTGTCTACAAGACAGACAAGCTCTGGTTCTCTCTCTGGGCACCAGTGCCTGCACAACAGCCATGTCGAGCCATGCCCAAGAGCACCTGTACGGCATTGGCAAGGCAGTTATATCTTTCTCAAATGACAGTGGCTCCAAGCCAAGTAGGAGCTTACACACACAGGTTATATAACAACTGGAGGTGTGCACCTGTGCACCAATCCTGCTGAGTCATGCAGGTCGGGGTATCTGCCTCAGCCTAATTCTTATCCACGTACCTTACAAATGTATACATACACACAAAAACAAATAGTTATTTGTCTTGTTATCATACACTAAAAATAGTTTTCTTTGCTGATTTGATGCAATAAGCATCCGTGTTGAGGACACCCACATGGCATGGAACCGTAGGCAGTCTGCAAGTCTCAAGGGTGGCCTCCAGATGACAACAAAAAATTGAGATCCCAGTCATACAAAATGAAATAAATCCTGCCAACAAATGGAAAGAACTTGAAAATTGAGCCTCCAGATGAAAACCAGCCCAGGTGACATCTTCTCAGCCTTGTGAAACCCTGAACAGAGAACTCAGTTAGACCCACGGAAACTGGGAGGTAAACATATTTAAAGGCACTAAGTTTTTTTCTAATTTGTTATACAGTAATAAACAACTAATATAATGTGCATCCTGATCACCTGGGGATCTTCTGAAAATCCAGGTTCTGACTCAGTAGGTCTGAGGTGGGACTGAGATTCTACATTTCTGACATTCTCAGGCAATGCTCATGCTTCTGGTCTAAAACCACATTTTCAGTAAACGGTAGATACGTGCCTATTGAGATTCCTTCCAACTCTCAGATTATATACCAGCCAGAGAAGAAAATAACATGGGAATCAAATAAAAGAATTTATCACCAGTTACAAACATCTAAACTTTCACAATTTCACTAAGAACTGAAAAATGATGTTGTAGAAGTTTAAATGCATATGGAAGTATTTCACAGAAGTCATTTTCAAGAGATAATGCAGTGCAGGAGAAAGAAAAGACAACTGATGAAATAAATATTGTAAAGAGAAATACAAGAAACTTCCCAGATTTGCCTAAATATTACATATGTAAATGGTGTGTGTGTTGGAGCGGAGGCTCCTGTGTGGGAATCATTCTGTTTCATATACAAGCTGAGCATTTCCAGAGAACAGGAAGGTCCTCAGTAAACGAGTGACCCCCCACCCCATATCACAACAGAAACCTAAAACGTGCTCTTAGCATGGGGGTCACAGCCAGAGTTTTTCCTTCTGAAACACAGGACTGGGGACAGACTGCAAGAGGCCCTGGGGAGCCTGGGGGGATGCATGCATGGGTGATGCTCAGAACACATTTTCTGAACCACACTGAGCTTCTCTCTTAAAATAATGACCCCTCCCTGCCTCTACAGAGTCCTGTTTCGGAAGAGGCACTAGGCAACACAATGATTCATGGAGAGAACCATCCTTAGAGGCCACGGGACAGCTCATGTTCTGGCTTCGTGGGTCACTAATTTTCATTGTGAGCAGGTGAACTTAACTGAGACTTAGGTTTTCTGATCTATAAAATGGGCACAAAATAATATTTATTTGTAGCACTTTTGTGAGGATTAGAAAATGAAAAGTGCCAGGGCTCC